GCAACTTGCGACTTGCAACTTGGAAGCGCCGCAAGTTTAACAGCAACTCGAAACTTTTCCCGTCTACCCAACCGGGACCCAATGCCAACACGGAGGCATGGCTGGCATGCGAAGCATTGTGGCAGTCTGCTCTTTGACCTTCATGTTAGTTGCCAATAGAAACGATTGCAGTATTATTACGCCAGCTGCAACATGTGTTGCATGCCCATTGATGATGCACCTTTCAGCGCCCGCCTTTCTTTAGACTTGCCTTTAAATCTAACACTGCAAGCAGCCAACTTTAGCTGCCTCATACAAAGCTCGCTCCTGCTTCATTTGGGCTTGAATACAAACGAAGCGCCAGCGGCTACGCTGACCACGTCGGAGTCCTTTGGACCACCGCACACCTTTCACCAGAATGCCAAAGCGCGCATTGGCTTAATTTGTATGAATGCCAAAATGCAAAGTGCCTGCAAAATAAAAATAAAAATAAAAAAAACAACAACAAGAAAAAACACGAATATATATGTATATATATTGAAATAAAACTGAAAGCGCAAATGGAATAACTAATTAAATTTTTCGACTGCAAATGAACAAAGTTGCCTGCACCACCGCAGAGCAACGAGCGCAGGAGTCAGACGGCTCTGTCCCGTTCGGGCAGTTAACTGTTAACTGCCAGCTACCAACTACCAGTTTAATTAACTTGGCTTATAAAATTTTATGCTAACTCGCAGCGCGCATTGCAAAGCATTATCTATGCGATATAATAGTTGGCCATAAAGGTTGTCTATGCAAATATGTTGCAATATCTCTGTTGCCACTCAATTGCCGTTGGCTTTAATGGAATCCATCCACCCAGCAGCCTCTTAGTTCCGGTTCGCAAGGGTTGCCGTAGCACTCCCCATCCGCCATCTCCTGTACATAAATCAGGAGTGAAATTTTTACACGCAGCCAACTGTCTGTGAAAATTTCATTTTCATGTACCGCGACATGTACATATCCAGACTTCGCGCAGCTTCCCGGCTTACCGACTCCTGCTCCGAAAAGGCCAAATTGAAGGGTCACAGCAACACGGTTTTAATTGTTTTTTGAGGTTTTTCGGACAATATTCAAAGGGAGTAATTTAAATTCCAGTTTGTAGCCCGTAGCGGTGTTTTTTTTTTATACCCTGAACCCATTTTCAATGGGAAATCAGGGTATAATGGTTTTGTTGAAATGTATGTAACAGGGAGAAGGAGGCGTGGCAGACCCCACAAAGTATATATATTCTTGATCAGGGTGACGAGCTGAGTTGATTTGGCCCTGTCCGTCTGTCTGTCCGTCTGTCCGTCTGTCCGTCTGTCCGTCTGTCCGTATGTATGAACGCGTCGATTTCAGAAGATATAAGAGCTAGAGACTTCAAAATTTTTTTTAAAATGTCCGTAATTACAGCGCGCATATCAAGTTTATCATTAAAAATCGATAACTCATCCCGATCTTTTTTATCGATAAAAAACCTTATCGAAACCCAGTCATAAAATTATATCTTCTACACCTTTATTGCTAGAGTCTCCAAATTTTTAATGTATGCTTATATGCAATTTATACAATTTCGGTTTTTGTTAAAATTTACCCCCCACCTCTAAATTCACCCCCTCACCCTCACTTTTGTAAAAAGCGTATTTCAAATACTAGAGACTTGTGCTTTGGCAAGTACATGCATATTCATGTTCATGAAGATCGTACGTCCATAAAAAAAGTTATTAAACAATTAAGTTCTCATAGTAAGCGCACACTGCAGCCCATGCGTGTTTATGCGTGGTTGCTTGTATGTGTATGTGTGTGTGTATGTGTGTGTGTGTATGCGTTTGTGTCTGTATGCGTGTGTGTGTGTATGTGTGTCTATATGCGTGTGTGTGTATGTTTACCTGTGTGTGCGTACGTGCGTGTGTGTGTGTGCGTGTTTCTTGTGTAAGCTGAAAGTCGCGAAAAAGTATTGAAATATCTATTGCTCCAAGGGTTCAGGGGATCTCGTAGTCGAGCAGTCTCGACTAGAGCTTTCTTACTTGTTCTTTTTCCTTTTTTTTCTGGCTCGAACCTTTGTGGCTGACAACTGCCCAGCCCAAGCAGGGAGCGAGCCAGCCGGCACATTTTACACAATTTTTTGAGTATTGAAATTTCGTTAAAAAAAAATAACATGTTTTTGATAATTTAACATTTTAATTGTAGACGAATAGAGAAATAGAGGAATATCTTTTTCTTTATGAATATAAAAACTAATATAAATTAGCTAGTTCTATTCTCTTTATTAATTTTCAAAATCTGCATGAATACAACCAAAACTTTCTATCGTTTGATTTTTTAATCTTTATCTCTCTCTCTCTCTCTCTCTCTCTCTCTATCTCTATCTCTCTCTCTCTCTCTCTCTCTCTCTCTCTCTCTCTCTCTCTCTCTCTCTCTCTCTCTCTCTCTGTCTCTCACTCTCCCTTATTTTATCATTCTCTTTGTCCCACTGTCTCACTCACTCGTTCAATCACCCACTGTATCATTCTTTCACTCAATCTCTCTATTTCTCTTTCACACACACACAAACACACACAAAACTCACACTTACATACTCACTCTCTTTATCGCTCAATGAATCTCTCTCACTCTTTCTCTCTCTCGCTCTCCTACTCACAATTACATACTCACACTTTCAATCATTCAATCTCTCTATCTCTTTCTTACTCTATTCCTCTCACTCTCTCACATTGTATCACGCACACCCATTCTCTCCTTTTCTTTGCTTGGCTCTTAGTCTCCCTAGCTCTCTCCCTCCCCCTCTCTCTCCCCCTCTCTCTCTCTCTCTCACTCTGTTCCAACATCCCTCATTTGATCTTATTAATCATATTATGATCGCCAATCATTCAGTCAGTCACTTTTATGCATCCACATAGTTAATATTCATTATATTTGCAATCTGTCGCATAGCTCAAATGGGCGTATAGCTCACTCGATATCGCTCTAATTGCTGTCCCGAAGCTTATTTAATGCCCGCTCACTCGTAGCATCCCGTTTGCATTTAACATAGCCTATTAACATATCTGGCAACGTGTGCAACAACAGCCAATGCCCTGGCCCTGGGCCTGGCTGTCCCGCTCTGTCCACCAACCCAAAGCCAGGGAGTGGGTTCGATGTCAGACTCTGTTGGTGGTCACGTTTCGAAGCCAGCAACGAGACAGCCTTGCATAATTGCGCCGCCAAGTGCAGGTCTGCAGTTCTACTACCTCATCGCATAAATAACCCAACAGGCACACACACACACACACATGGAAATACTTCTATTTTAAATAAATACACACATACACGTACATACATATATGTGTGTGTGTGTGTGTATGATGTTTGGCTTTTTGTCTAGCATGGCTATTATGCAAATGGTACTTTGTTTTAACTGCGGTTGGCCTGATGACTATGGCTGAGACCAAAGCTGAGCTCCACATTAGTTCGTCATCAGCATTGGTCTCTCTCTCTCTCTCTCTCTCTATCTCCCTTCCTCTCTCTTTCTCTCTCTCTCGCCACATTACTCGGACAATTGATATGCCAAGTGTTATGTGTGCGCATACTAATGACTTTTTCCAGTGGCCCGTCAGCCCAGCCATCTGCAACTGCATCTGCATCTGACTTGTGTCGAGCTCATCTGTCAACTGTGGCCATCTATCAATAAATGTTCAACTGCCCGACTAAACGGCGCAGTCGCAACTGCCCAGCCCAACCCACACACACACACACACACACACACACACATACACACCCTCATTACATTAAGTTTTTATTGTCGGGGGCTGGCTACTTGAGCCATACCCAGTTATACATATCTCTGCCTCTGACTCACTCACAACTCGGCCAGGCACGCATTGAGCTGTCTCACAATTGTTGGGCACAGAACGAGCAGAGCGGACAGCCGACAGACGACAGACGACTCATGCCCCACTCTCAGACATGAGTGTGGCGCTGTCCCTAAATCGAGTTTTAAACAGATTTTTTTGTTACTTCTTAAGTGCACTTAAAAGTTTTACGAGCGCCGTTGTTAGCATAAGGTAACTGCATTCCATAGAGCTCTAATAGAGTTTCGACAGCTGTAAAAATGTATCTATTTACAAGTAAATGAAGCATTAGCTTTAGCTGAATGCATTAAATCTGCCTCAAAGCAGTGTATTTACCAAGTCAACCACGTAAAACAGTATACAAAAAATAAATAAAAAAAATAAAAATAGATATATATTTATTTATACAAACAAATACTGGGGCTATACCAACAAAAGGCACACACACACACGCACATCGAGCAACAACAATAAAATAAATCAAAAGAAAGTAAAATTACGACGCGTCGCTCCATCGAACTGCGAATCTACAGCATATCAAAATGTATTTCAATAAAATCAGCGGCGAGAAAAACTTTCGCTACTTCAGTGGCAAAAGCAAAAACAACAACAACAACAACAACAAATACCGAAATCTATATGACAAAATAAAAGTGGAGAACATACATATTTATGCAGCTAGACGAATAACAAATGCGCTTCCATTTCAATGAAATAAATCAAATAAAACCCGTTGAGGCTAGGCGACTGAACTCAAATAAATCCGCAAATTAAATAGCGGAATTCTGCAAATTATAATATCTGAAATGAATTCCTATTATTATATTTGAATAACTTTTTAATTGCTTCGGCTGACAGAACGCCGCAGAATTCTATAGGGTATAAAAAGCCGTTGACTAAAGCTCGAAAATTGTGTGATATTGTGTTGAGTGAAGTATTATTATCATGGTCAAACCGGCGTGGCCTACGCATGCGCAGAATACAAAACCACAGACGCACACACACACGCACACACACATATATATATATATGTACATGTGTATGAGTTTGTAGATTGGCAAAGTGGACGTGCCACAGGCCAGAACCACTTTTTTTTTTGTTTTTTTTTTTTGTGTGGCTTGTAATGTGAATTTCGGTGAAATGTTTGTCGCTGGCTTTCAAATTTGTGGCTGGCTTTTCAGTTTGCATCGAGCCACACGAGTTGGTGGTGTCGCTTGAGCGTAGAGAAAGCCACCGAACAAACTTTTTTTCCCCAACATTAGCAAAGATGACTTGGAGCAGTTTGCCGAACTGCCTGAAGCTACCGCTGCTGCTGCTGCTGCTGTTGCTGCTGATCGGATCAGGTGCCGCGCAGCAGTACAACGCATCGGCGCTGTCTGCGGTGGGCCCAGCGCCCATTTCGCCCGTGCTGAAGCAGTCCCAGAACACGTTCGTTCAATGGGTTCTATCACTGCTGCCGCAGCGACCCGGCGCTGCCACCGAGAGCGTCACAATTGCCGCGCTGAGCAGCTCGGCGACGACGCCCACTGCGACGCCAGCTGCGGCGTCGACAACCTCAACAACCGCAGCAACAACCACAACAACTAGAGCAACAACCACAACGACCACAGCAGCGCCCACAACAACGCGAAGGGCAACGACGCCGGCGCCACCGACGCTGAGTCCGCCGAGGAGCTGCAGCGACTGCGTCTGCGGCGTGGCCAACATCCAGAAGCGCATCGTGGGCGGGCAGGAGACGGAGGTGCATCAGTATCCCTGGGTGGCCATGCTGCTCTATGGCGGACGCTTCTATTGCGCCGCCTCCCTGCTCAACGATCAGTTCCTGCTGACCGCCTCGCACTGTGTCTACGGCTTCCGCAAGGAGCGCATTTCGGTGCGCCTGCTGGAGCACGATCGCAAGATGTCGCATATGCAGAAAATCGATCGCAAGGTCGCCGAGGTGATCACCCATCCCAAGTACAATGCCCGCAACTATGACAACGACATTGCCATCATCAAGCTGGACGAGCATGTGGAGTTCAACGAGGTGCTCCATCCCGTCTGCATGCCGACGCCCGGGCGCAGTTTCAGGGGAGAGATCGGCGTCGTCACCGGCTGGGGCGCCCTCAAGGTGGGTGGGCCCACCTCAGACACGCTGCAGGTAAGCTGGAACGACTCGATCGAAGCAATTCGTGGCTAACGATTCTTTGCAGGAGGTTCAGGTGCCCATTTTGTCGCAAGACGAGTGCCGCAAGAGCCGCTACGGCAACAAGATCACGGACAACATGCTCTGCGGCGGCTACGACGAGGGCGGCAAAGACTCCTGCCAGGGCGACAGCGGCGGCCCCCTGCACATCGTGCCCAATGGCACCAGAGAGTATCAGATCGCTGGCGTCGTTTCGTGGGGCGAGGGCTGCGCCAAGGCTGGCTATCCAGGTGTCTATGCGCGAGTGAATCGCTACGGCACCTGGATCAAGAACCTCACCAAACAGGCCTGCCTCTGCCAGCAGGAGACCAAGAAGATCAAGTAATTTGCTGCAGAGCTCTCGCAGTACACTTGCTTTGGCAACAGCAACTGAAGATGAGCATGAGGATGAGGATGAGGCTGAGGCGACTGAATGAATACTCTATAATAACTATTTATTATTTACGATATGCCCTCAGTCAATCGGATTTGCCTTGATTGGACGAAATTCAAGTTTTTCCATTGGAAAACTTTCGTTATTTTTCGTGATACATCAACCAAAAGATTCCAAGCATAAGACACCAAACGGAAAGTTTAGTTTTTTAGTGGCAAAAAAAGACTAATTTCTTTCTCTAAATTATGTTCCAAATTATCCATATAATGTGAAAAGTTAGCAAATGCCTCTGCAAGTGTATCCAAGGCTTCGACTCGTCGAAGATATTTTATTTACTTATTTTCCTTATTTATTAAATCAAGAAAAAGAAAAAAAAAATCAGAAAATCTCTTGAGTATTTATAGAGTTGCAGCATTCCAGCATGTGGAATGGCAATAACCTTAGCTGGGTCCGGTTTGGCGGCTGGTCTAGCCAGTTCTGCAGCCGGTCGAGGCCGGCCTAGGGTTCTGCTAGCTGCTAGCTGGGCCCTCTTCTTGTGGGCATTGGCAAGGATGCGCCAATTCAGTTGCCAATTGCCAGTTGGCCAGCTTAGTTCGCTAACCAGAATGAGATACATTTGCTTGCTAGCCTCAGTGGTGGGCCTGGCCCTGGCCACGCCCAGTCTGCGCGGCGCCTCGGAGCCGGCCAAGATATTGGAGTCGTTGAACAGTATGCGGCAGAACAGCTTCCTGGACTGGATCATGTCCGTGCTGGGTCCGGACTCTCCCGAGACGGGCGTGTCGCCCGCCAAGCGGGAGTGCCCGGCCTGTGGCTGCGGCAACATCAATACGCGCCATCGCATCGTCGGCGGGCAGGAGACGGAGGTGCACGAGTATCCCTGGATGGCCATGCTGATGTGGTTCGGCAGCTTCTATTGTGGCGCCACGCTGGTCAACGATCAGTACGCCCTGACGGCGGCCCACTGCGTCAACGGCTTCTACCATCGGCTGATCACGGTGCGCCTGCTGGAGCACAATCGGCAGGACAGCCATGTGAAGATCGTGGACAGGCGAGTGGCTCGCGTGCTCGTCCATCCCAACTACAGCACACTCAACTTCGACAGCGACATTGCGCTCATCCGGTTCAATGAGCCGGTGCGTCTAGGCATCGACATGCATCCCGTTTGCCTGCCCACGCCCACCGAGACCTTTGCTGGCCAAACGGCTGTGGTCACCGGCTGGGGCGCCCTCAGCGAGGGTGGACCCATCTCCGATACTCTGCAGGAGGTTGAGGTGCCCGTGCTGTCGCAGCAGCAGTGCCGCGAGACCAACTACGGCGCTGACAAGATCACCGACAACATGATCTGTGCCGGCTACGTGGAGCAGGGCGGCAAGGACTCCTGCCAGGGCGACAGCGGCGGGCCCATGCATGTGATTGACGAGAAGCAAACCTATCAACTGGCTGGCATCGTCTCCTGGGGCGAGGGCTGCGCCAAGCCCGGCTCACCCGGCGTCTACACACGCGTGAGCAACTTCAACGAGTGGATCGCGGCCAACACTCGCGACTCCTGCGCCTGCAGCCAGTCCGAGGAAGCCTCGCCAGCCGAAGCTGCCACCACAACCACTGAGCAGCCAGAGCAGCCAGAGATGGCCACGGCTCAGACCAGCGAAGATCCCGAAGTGCAGGAGGCCGAGCTGCCTGTCTAATCTAATTTTTTGATATATGCTGATATATTCTTTTCAATAAAGGCAATGCCCAGATCATATAGATTTCTCATTCCATAATTCACAATTCCAATTTTACATTTGTCAAGTGAGCGAAGTTTCTAGATTTATTACATTGATGCATTTTACAATACTATTCGATTGCCCTAGTCAACACTGGCGTTTGACATTTCAGTCGAAAGAAAAGTTTGCTAGCCACAGACAAGATTTTCCACGATGTCCTCTGCTCCGATCATTTTCAAGCTTAACAACTATAGGAAGCATACAAAAAATAAGCGAAATCAAACAGAGACGAATGGCTTCAACTTGCCGCCGAGAGTACTTGGCGGCTTTAGTGTGACGAGCGAGCGCATCTATAAGGACGATGCGCATCTGATGAAATTTCTATTGGTACCGGATGCAGACAGCTTTCCCTTGAATCTGAGCAAAGTAAATATCGCATACAATGGGCGCGACCAGCACGCAGAATATCTGGACAATATGCTGTACTTTATTAGGGATCATCGGGATGCGATGGTCTCTGGGTCGGCGGTGCGGGCGGTGCGGGCGGACATTGTCACCCAGGAGAATGTGTTGACGACTCTGCTGTGCACGCTCTACAGGAAGAGCAACTGGCGAATCTTGGGCAGCAGATATCGTGATACGCTTTACCTGTGCCTGGCGCGGCCGCAGTCAAATGAAGCCGCTGCAGAGCAGCTGGCCAGAGAGCGTCGAAACTGTATGGAGACTAAACTGAAGCATTTGATATATTCAGGTAAACGCAATGCAGTACAATGACAGGCACAGGCGATAGTTCAACACTTTGAGATTACAGACACGCCCCATTTGCCGCCCAATGCGCGCAGTCCTAGCGGAGAGTTCTATGGTGTCTTCAGCCGCAACATTGGCGAACTGGCCGTGGTCTATGCCTCCAGCATGGGTGGGCATCGTGTTCAGCCTTTCGAGTGCGTATTTACTGTACTTCAAGTACCACTCAAATGTCAAATTTTCTATTGCCTTTAGCGCACCAGACACGTGGTCAGGCACCTTTGTGGAATGCAAAGTAATTCAGCCGCCTAGGTTCAAGCCAAGGCCAGTGGATGCCTTGAGCTGGTGGTTCGAGTGCTACTTGAAGGATGTCAACGATATTTACATAGCTCGACCCAAAAACTCTGGACTTGTTCACAAACTCCACAAGTGCACCTTGGCCACACTCATGCGAGATAATGTAAGTTATGCGGCTAAATCATATTTACTCTGCTGATGGAGCTACTTCGACCTGCAGGTCAAGAATTGGTCCTGCGAGAAGTGCATCGATTGTATGCACTTTCTACTGCTGCAGATGCGCAAGGTCATGGAACTGGACAATCCCAATGCGGTGTATCAGTTCGATTATATTGCCCGTCCCGGCGTACTTACATTCAGCCTGATTGCGGAGCGCAACGAGCAGACATTCATATCCGATTGGTATCGCCAGATGCTGGATAAGCCACAAGGAAATATATCCCAAAATGCGAGCGCCTAAGCGATCAAATAAAAGTTCTTTAAATTGAGCAAGTCGCTGGCAAGCATTTAACTTCTTGGGGTCCACTCGGCAAGGTGTTGTTGCCTGGCTGCCATCGAGCGACACGCACAGGCCACAGGCCACAGACACAACACAACACAACACAACACAAGAATCTGACCCTCGGGTGACTCAGTTGTTATTGTTCTCTCGCTTGTTAACTGGCATCTCGAGCCGCTTCAATTTCCGTCTGTAATCTGCGTGTGTTTTTCTTGTTCTCTTTTTCTCTGTTTTTTAACTTAACTTTGCCCCAGAGGCATTGAACAATTTTTCTGCTCGAAATTGGCACTAAATCAAAACACGAATTGCACCAACGGGCAACAACAACGAGCCCGACTCCTACACGCAGTGCCTGAGCTGCTGTCCCATTGCTGTGCGGCTCGGCTTGGCAGCGATCCTGAAACATTGATAAACAACTAAATAATAGAATAAACAGCACAAAAGGTGCTAAAACATTAAAGGCGGCCTTTGACGTGTCCGTTCCGCATAAAAGTGCACAAAATCGTTGAGAGCGGCCCGTTGGCTTTATGATTATGCGCACACTGGAAGGCCAAGTTGGTATATTGAGGCATAAATAGTTATTTTCAAAGGTGCTTTCAGTTTGATTTTCTATACCATACCCTGTGCGGAGCTCAAGTAGATGAAGAGGCATATTGATTTTGGCGTATGTGCTCTATAGAAACATAGGTAATAATGATTTATACATGGTAAGTATTCATTCATATAGGTAAATTCAAACATATATATATATAAATATATATATATATATATATATATATATATATATATATATATATATATATATGTATGTATGTATGTATAAGACTCACTGTAATTTTAAAGAATTATTTTGAGATTGCATAAATTTTATATATATTATAAATATAAATATATTTTATATATTTTATATTTTTCTCCAAATGGTTCATATCTCTTTTCCCATGCTTGTGAGTCAATCTGTGCCTGCAGCATATCGTAGCCTGTATATAGGGTATCTGCTAGTCAGTCAGAAATTAAACTTGATTAGTTAACATAATCTCCAAACGAGTTATAGCTTACTCTAGATTTGGCTATCCAGATTACTCTACATTTGGCTATCCATTAGTCACTTGATTAAATATTCACTCTCAACAATTTCTACTTTAGTCTCTATTGTAGGGTATCTGAGAGTCGCTCTCGCTTAGTCCGCCTCTCTTTTTTAGCGCTCCTTTTTCCAGCCATAGCGCATATTTGCTGCAATTGAGCGCATTTTGTGCTTAGCCGCCGGCTGGTTAAAAAAATTTATTGGGGCGTGAAATTGTTTGATTGAATATTAGTGTTTGTGCCTTTATATATACATACAATATATACATATTATGTATGTATGTAGTTTCTCCTTTGGCTTTTCCTGTGGTTCGCTTGTTGAAGAGCCCCAGAGTGCTTTTAAATTGCCACATCAGTTGTTCGGTTTGCTTAAGGTACTTATCAATATGCATATAAATTATAAAGTATATCAAATATAAAATAAACATATTATAAATGGGCTTTAAGTTGTTGAAAAGTCGGTACAAAATTTGGTAAAATTTATTTTCTTGCATCACTTTTATACAGGGAAAGCGCTAAAAATTTCAATTGTCTTACATCACTTGAGTATGGTGCTGATCTGATAGAAGAGTTTTAAAAGTCACCATATATCGTGTACAGTATTGTCAGATTACCATTGCGGGTCAAGTGTCACTTCCCTAAGCAATTCCAATCATATGCAATGCACAACAAACAGTATTGATTAGGGTAACACTGAATACCAATGCGCCGACCAACAATTTCTCGGCCATTATCAACACGACATCGAGTATATTTGCAGCTGGCTGAGGATGGATGGCATGGTAGGAGTCTAAGCACTAAGAGTCTTTCACTCAACTTGCAGCGTACGCACCTCTATGAATGTTATTGCAAGGCTCAACGATTGCTGTGCAATCACCACACAGAGGGAGACGCAAGTAATTAGGGCCATTAATGTGACTATGGCCAGAGCTTCCACCAAGCGAACGGCGACAGGCATCCTACACACACGAACAATCTGATAATATTTGGAATTTTAAAACTCTTTTTGATAGAGGCCCGAAATTTAAGAAAAGTGACAGGTAAACGAGAGTAAACCTAAATGTTTCAGAAAATCAAATATATCATAGCATATAAATATATATACATTTACATATGTATTTTTTTTTTTACCAAGAATTCCTTTTTTTTTTTTAGTTTTTTGCAATTTCAATCGCATGCATAATCAGAGCTAAGCTCTCGCGTTAAGCCAATTTGTTCGACATGCAAAAAGATTTCAATTTTTCAAACTCATTTCGTGCGAGTGTGGATAAATAAGCCCACACTGTTTGCGCTGGGCAAAGCCACAAAACCGCCAACAAATTATAGTTTTCAATCGTTTTTTTTTTTTTTTTTTCTCCTGTTTTCCTCTTTTTGCATCCCATTTGAAGGCATAAATATTTTTCAATATGCAATTCCAATTATCCTATGCAAATGTAATTTGTCTCGCTGCCGAGCAATTTGGTTCCCTTTCCAGCTGAAAGCGGCGCGCGTACGCCCTAAACTAGGCCCGTTCTGTCCGGCTTTGATGTGTCTGCGTTGGCATAGATTGCTCTGAATTATGGCACTAAATGGCTAGACATGTTACATAATTCATTTAGTCCGAGCCAGGCGCATAGGCAACAACCAGTCGCTTCCTGCCCCTAACAAAAGCAATGTCCACAATAGTTGCGTGCTTTTTGTTTAAAGGCTTCGACATATTTGTTTTATAGAAAATTCAATTAGCCGCAAGTTGCTAAAAAGGGAAATAAAAATAATAGAAATTAATTGATTTCTATGCTGGAATCTCTCCAATAATTATGGGCATAGGGCATGAGGCAGCCCAGCGGCTATGGACTCACGGAGTACGGCTGGGAGAGCGGACAGAGCCTGCTTAAGTTGAGTTTTATTGGCCAAGACGCAACACGGAGATTTTCCGGTTTCTGGCTGTGATTTCTTCTTTTCAGCCAACTTCATAAAAATCCTAAAATAAATATTTGCACACATAAGTTCAGGCGGCGTTGTCGACGTTGTTGTTCCCGTCTGGAGACAGACAGCAAAATAAGCGGAAAGTTTTGTCGCAAATCCCCGGCGTGGCCCAGCCGCAGGCAATCGATAGACAGAAAAGAGCAAAGCGAAATTAAAATATAACCAGAGTGGAGAGTAGACGACTAGGAATTGCCCTGAAGTTAGCTAAAAGCTGGTTCTATGGTAAGCAAAGGATATATATGTATTTCGAAACATATATATAAAGTATATAAAAGAATATTTATAAATTTTAGAATATAGAAAGAACTGAACTGCTTATCCTCCGCATTAATTCTAGATATTTCTGAACGGTTCTTAATATTGAAAAATTAAAGAAAAATCTTTAACGTTTCAACAGATATCATATGGTGCATATATGTATATGCCCATTTATTATATATTTATATTTACTTCATATCTGATTTTAATCTTAAAATAATGCTAACAATGTTTAATAATTGACTTTTTAAGTTGTATATTCAAAATCTTCGCAAATTTATTAATTAGTAATAGCCAAAGAAACTAATAAGAAAAATTAAAAGAATATATACACATTATATAACAGTAATCAGGAAATGTTCATCCTCTTACCCCTCACACATTGCACTTCGTAGGGTATTGACATCATCAAAAATCCAGCTTGCGATTTTATTCATATTATTTAAGCCCCTTGGTTGCAGCAGCCTTAACGTCTCAATATTCAGCTCTTATTGTATTTCGTATTTATTGATATGAAAAAAAAGTGAAATAAATAAACCAACAATTTGCATTGCAACATTAAAATTGTGTGTCCAATGGTGCACGAAACCGGAAATGCCACCTGTTATTTGTATACAATATCTCCATATTGTCATCGTCCATATTGCCATCGATGGATATTGACTTGCAGCAGATGGACAGTTTGTCTGGAAGTTCGAGCGAATTTAAACGCTTCAATAAATCATTTTAATATTATTTTTGTAAAACATTAAAAACACTTTAATATGCAAAGCTTTACCAAATGTAAATGAATTTAAGTAATGCATGAGGGCGATTCAGAGGTCAAAGTGCTGGCTATAGTAAAACCGACCGATTTTAACAATCTCATTATGGCAAACATATTTCCTATAAAAACAAAAACTTAAGAAAATATATATTTTCAACAATTTTCAATGCTGCGCTAAATTTCATTATCTTCTTAAAATACAAGACGAGAAAAAACGAGAACGAAAGAGAAAAACAAAATATCAAAGTAAAGCTCATTATAATTCCAACCGAAAACCGATCCATTTCAATGCCCATTCTCTCCTTGGTTCCATTCCGGCGCTCGCTCTGCTTTGCCTTGTTTTCTCGTTCTTTTGATTTCATTATTGTTTTTATTGCTTCGTATTTTTGTGTGTGTCCAACTGACTGAGTTTGCCAAAGCAAAAGGCGCATTTTAATTCCATTATTTCATTTGGGGCCCACATCGCCCCGTCACTCCCCACCTACTTTGTCTCTCTTTGTCTCAGGCCCCGTTTTCCATTGAAATGCGCATAAAAAGGGTATTAAAGCCGAGGCACTCGCCGATTGTAAAGTTTTTTTTTCTGTCTTCTTCTCTTATTTTTTTTTTTGGCACATTTTCAAAGCTGAACACGCCTTGCCACATTTTTTTTGCGGGCATTTTTTTCAGGGCTCCGCCTTCTTATTACAAATTAATAAACAATTTTTTCTCTTGTATTTAAGCTAGCTACAAATTTGCGAGTTATTGCCACATTTCGTATATGTTCATATATATTTTTTATGATTTCTGTGCGCCGTCTTCTCGGTTTGTCCTAATGAATCATGGTTATGCCGGCAATAATTTAGTTTTAATAGCACTTTGGTGACATTTATGCTGTCAGCGGCATACAATTTTATTAATGTTCAAATGAGCTGCTGCCATACATGCTATCATTATAAAGAGATATCACAGCTTTTAATGTCAGTTTTGGAAGCTTTGTGCGAAATTAACTTATGGAACAACTGCCCACCCGCTCAGTATGTATCTGTGTGTGTGTGTGTGAGGGTGGGTGGCAGCCCCTTTAAAACTTAGCTCAAAGCATTTAAAAACGAATCCGAGATATGAAACAAAAACTTAATTTTATATAAAAAAAAATATATATTGTTTAAAATGAAAATATTTATCAAATAAATATGGTAAATTAATATATGAAATAAAATAAATAATAATAATATAAAATAAAAAATATGAGTTCAAAAAGAAATAAGCTATAAATATATAAAAAGCCCACAAAAATATATGAATATAAATATATAAAAGTAAAAGGATATTTAAAGATTAGATAAATAAATCAAAAAAAATTGTTTACAAACTGAAGTAATATATAAAAATAAAATAAAAGACTTAAAAACTATTTATTAAATTTAAATATAAAAAATAAAATAAAATATTAAACACAAAATAAATATGCAAAGGGTATTAAAATTAAAATATTTATAAAAAGAAAGAATGAAAACAATTTAATGAATATATAAAATAAAAATATTATTAAAGAAATTTTAAAGTAAAATCTAAAATAAAGTAACTAAAACTTAGTTTTAAGCTTTCATTTGATGAGTAAAGGGCTAACCAAATAATTTGCGAACATATTAAAACCTTATATGAACAGCAGTTTAATAGCCATGAATATGAAAACTAAACGCTTCCGATGCATTTGCTTCTTCAACAAGATATAATAATACACGAATATAAATATTGCAGTGTATTTTTAAGTCGAAACTAATTACAACTTTTAATGGCAATCGTTATAGCATTTTATTGGATTTATGTTACTTTCAGTTTGGTGTTATTCTTTTACTTTCTTTTCGTTTTTCTTTATTTTTTGCGGCCCTGCGAGCGGGGCTCTTTAATGAGCCACTCGGCGAGTGCAAGGCTAACCTAATCAGTTGGCTCACTTAAGTAATAAAGCAATTTATCGCTTTTCAATATCCTTTAAGCAGTTTTTGCCCTTTTACTTCCTATTATTACACTTCCTGGGCCGGGCCCTCGAGCGCAGTGAATGAATAAAGAACCCACACAAATTATTTTCGCGCTGGTTTCATCTTATTTTTACAGCTCCTTCGCCTTGCCAGGATGCGGAGACTGTGGAGACTGCGGAGGCTGTGGCTGTGGCTAAGTCTGAGTCTGGGTCTGTTGCTTTTGCTCTTTTAACTTGTCGCTTCGCTTTGCCAGCGGCACACGTTGCCATTTTTATGGCCTGAGCTTGGCATAGGGATAGGCATCGGGATCGGGCTAGGGATTGGGATTGGGATTGGCATGGAGACTGGTATTGGCTTAAGACTGGGTCATATCCTGGGCCGCCTGCACGTTTTTTGTCCGACGCCGTTGGCGTTGCCAGACCAGTTTGATTTTAGTGGCCAGCGCAAAGCAAGGGCCAGTAATGATTTTATTACACGATTTTATATCGAATTTTATTACCTTTGTGCATGACGCTGCTGCCGATGCTGTGGATGCGGACAGGAGAACAGAGCAGGAGGACAGCGCAAGGATTGCGCTTATGTCGTTGTCCTTACGCCTTTGGCAACTGCCATTGGAATTTACGCACTCATAAAATTGGCCGCTTGAATTGTGTGGGAATTCCAGAGCGCAAAATTCTTTGCGCTGACCCCCAACTCTGGCCATCATAATTCAATATCATAAAACGTTTATCCAATTAATTTCGACTGGTAATATTTATAGCCAGTTCGTGTAGTGATGCGAATAGAAGTAGAGCCTTAAACGAGCTTTACACTGTATTGCTGGGCCAAGTTTAGGGTATCACTAAAACAAAGATGTCGGCTCTTGTAGCAGATATGTTCAGCTGGGAATAATATGGAGACTTTAGATTGATAATAAGTATTTATTTGAAAATAGTTGTTGCTTTATATAATTGGCGTAAATATTTTAATACGGGCCGACAGTGTATATATTACGGAAAAGAAGAAGCTCTGCTCTGCTCAGAAAGGCAAGAACTAATTATTAAGCTGATGTAAGTAAGTCGACGTCTTTTCCCTTGTTAATGTTAAGTATATCCAACTCTTCTTTATACGTTAATATACACCTTTACTGACCTTCACAAAACATGCGATTCGATACTTCCCATCAAAAAGCCAAAGCGCAGTTAAGGATTGAATTTATTTTCCATTTTTATTATATTTTAATATTCTATACTTTGAAATAAATTTTTAATAATTTTCCAAAACCAGTTTTTAAACTGTTGAATAGATTACACCTCAACTGCCCAAAGTATAGCACCTGCATTTCAAATCTACATCTGCAAGAGTGTTATAGTTCATGCTCTACTTCTATATATTATAAAAGTACATTGATTGTGTTTTTTTTTTTTTGCTATTTTTTCTCTTTATTGACATATACACTAACTTGTGTATTCTTATTGATCTTGAAAATGTATCCAACGGCTGTTTTGGTGCACGCTCCATTGACTTTGACTATTTCCATTTGCATGTGGCTCTTGATCTCATTTGCCTATCTCTCTCTCTCTCTTTCTCTCTCTCTCTCTCTCTCTCTCTCTCTCTTTCTCTCTCTCTTTATTTGCCGTTGTGCTCTTTTCCGCTGACCTAATCGGGTTAGATTTCCAATTACGATTATGCTGGCACTTGGCTAATAAGCACACCCAACACACAAACACAAGCACACACGCACACATACATATCCAACCCACACACATGCAACTGACATCCAAACCAAATACAAATGTCATTACCGTCTGTTGCTTTTGTTGTTGTTGCTGTTGTTGTCAGTGATATTTGTTTCAGTGTCAAGTTCAGTTCTCAATGTTGCATGTTTGCCCGTTTGCCGTTCGCGGCGTTTCAAATGGCTGCATGCCAAATATAATGGGTTTCCCTTGATGAGTTTGCCAGCTATGCATGCAGATAGAGATAATCGTAGCAACAACAATAACAACTATAACAACATGCTTTCCTGTACATGTTGCAATACTTTGAAGCTTTGTGCTCAGTGACTGAATTATGGCATAGTTTTCCATATTTCAGTTTGTTTTGTTTGCTTTTCAAATTTCGCAATGACGTTTGATAATCGCTGAAATGGTGGTAGCAAAATGCATTGGGGGTATGCAGGAAGCCTCATTTCATATTTAGTTAGATGACTGAGAAATAGTTTATTATTCCAGCTACACAAATATTATTCTAATTATTCTATGAAACAAGTTTTCTGTTTGTTTCCTTTTAATATGTTAGCATTTGGCATACACTGCAAGAAATTTGTTCAGCATAGATGAGCTTAGGTTTAGGCTGGATTTATTTATCCTTCATGTCAAGTGGCGTCGATGGTGTAATGGTCAGCATAGTTGCCTTCCAAGCAGTTGATCCGGGTTCGATTCCCGGCCGACGCAGGAATTATTATTAATTTATTTTTTTTTATTTCACAGTTTTTTATAGGCTACTCAAATCTTCCGAAGGTCATTTAAGTTATTTAAAAAATTATTTAAAAATAATTTATATTATTATTAGTTATCCTATCATAGAAAAATCTCTATCTCTCTCTCTCTCTCTCTTTTGCTGTCTATCAAGTTTACTAATTTAAATCTCATATTATTATTATAAACAGAGCATTGCTTGGCTGAAATCACCCACTGACAATAGTTTCGATTATCAAAGTTTGCATGCCAAGAAACAAGTGTAATATACACGCCGCTGGCATATTAAAATGTTCCATTTGTCAGATTTGGATTTACATGGAACTAGGCTAAAAAAAAATTGCATTTAGCAGCAGATGCTCTGGCAGCCAGCATCTACGCTCAATCTACTATTGACGTGCACGAATTCGGCTTCGGAATGCTGGCGATTTATATGGCAAAGTGCGCTCTCAATCTCCGCCCTTGTTAGACGCTGCTGACGTCAGTTGAGCGCTGTGAGCGCTTTGAGCGCTCTGAGCGAGCTTCTGAAGCGCATCAGATACATGTGTAGATACATAGATCCAAGTAGATGGCACCGGAGCGGGCCTGAGCATACCTGAAGTTCATAGTTAAATGATTTCATTCGCTATTTAATATTCGTTTGAACTCTGCTGCGTACTCGGCTCAGTTTCAGTTCTCGAGCGCACGCCAAGCCAGGCAAATGCGAAACAGCTCGAATCAGCGCGAATCACGAGTCGAGTCGAGTCGATAAGAATCCAATTGTTCCAATCCACTTGATATCATGTTGGCCCTACACGTTCTCTGGCTAGGCCTGATGGGCGCTCAACTGGCAGCAGCCGCTGTGCATCAATCGATTCAGGATGCGCGACGCGAGCAGCAGCAGCTCGTGCCGCGCTATATCAAGACCCTGAACAAGGAGGAGGGCGCCATACGTCTAGTGGGCGGCGATGCTGAATACGAAGGTAGGACTGGGCCATTTTCATGATTACCTCTAAGAGCTGCACTCTCAACGTCTCAGGTAACATTGAGGTGCTGCATAATAACAAGTGGGGCGCCGTTTGCGATGATGAATGGGATGCCGCTGAGGGCGAGATCGTGTGCCGGCAGCTGGGCTTCCTCGGACTGCGTCGCTACACCCACAGCGGCTACTTTGGGCCCGCGCGGCGGCGCTACTGGATGGATAATCTGTACTGCGAGGGCCACGAGCAGGAGCTGACCGACTGCCACTTCGAGGGCTGGGGCATCAACGACTGTGAGCCGAGCGAAGCAGCGGGCGTTATCTGCTATCCGCCAACGGATGCAGCCGTTTGGTCGGCGCCCGCAGCTGTCGAGGATGATCGTCTGCTGCCCAAGTATCCCATACATCCTGGCTCACGGCTGTATGTGAGACTGCGCGGCGGTCGCTCCAGGAACGAGGGACGGGTCGAGGTGCGCATCGATGGCCAGCGCTGGGGCAGCATCTGCGCGGATGGCTGGTCCATGCTGGAGGCGAATGTGGTCTGTCGTCAGCTGGACCTGGGCTACGCTCGCGAAGCCTTCCAGACGGACTACTTCGGTGGCGCCAACATCTCCCGGCCCATGCTCAGCGGCACCGAGTGCTATGGCAACGAAACGGAGCTGGCGGACTGCCTGCACCACAATCATTTGAGCGGCATTGTGAGCTGCCACGGCAACCGGCAGCATGTGGCTGCTGTGATCTGTGACTATCGGTCGCCCGATTTGGTGGTAGACTACTATGAAATCGAGCAGACGGCTCACCTGGAGGATCGGCCGATGCTGCTGATGCAGTGCGCCATGGAGGAGAACTGCGTCTCCAGCGAGGCCTATCAGATACAGCGCGACAGCCCCAATTGGCGCTATCACACGCGAAGACTGCTCAAGTTCACAGCGGCCGCTATAAATGCGGGCAACGTGGACTTCCGCCCCTTCAAGGAGAAGAGCCAGTGGGAGTGGCACATGTGTCATATGTAAGCAGGAGGCGTTGTCTGATGACTCTCCCTGATAACTCTCCCCTGATTTGCAGGCACTACCACAGCATGGAGGTGTTTGCCACCTTCGACATATTCGACCTGGACGGTCGCAAGGTGGCGCAGGGTCACAAGGCGTCCTTCTGCTTGGAGGACAGCAGCTGCCTGCCGGGCGTCGCCCGGAAATACAACTGCGCCAACTTTGGGGATCAGGGTGAGCGTTTTAGAGTGTTGAGCAAGATGTTAAGCCGGCTTTAACATCTATTTTCCTCAGGTATCTCTGTCAACTGCTCTGATGTTTATCTATATAATCTGGACTGCCAGTGGGTGGACATAACCGAATTGCCACGCGGCTCGTATATACTCAAGATTGCCATCAATCCGGAGTTCAAGGTGGCCGAGATGAGCTACGACAACAACGCCGCCATTTGCGACCTTTTGTACGCCGAGAATTATGCGCGTGTTGACAATTGTCGCCTGGCGAGACCTTAGGGCCTTCAAAGACCTTTAAATCTGAACAGTGCCAAATATTATGATTAATCGTAGAGTCGAGCGTTAAGCGTAAATATGTCTGCATTATACGATCTATTCTGCTTCTATTATTCTCTTTTTTACCAAAATAAAACTGCACACACATATCTTAAGGTCGTCCCGCAAGTACATAGAAAACAAGCGTGTACCAAATAATGAACTTGAGAATCACTCGAGTGTGAATATGTCAGAGACATCGGCGGCATTGTCAGCGCCACTGAAGCATTTATCAAATGCCCAGAGCTGAGGCTGCCCCCAAGCAGATATCAGTGTCATCGAAGGTGGGTGTTGAACTGGAACGAAGTATTGTATTTAGTTAAAATGGCTTTACAGGTCCAAAATGCGCAAACTTGCACAATTTTTTACAAATTTTACTAAGCAATAAAAAAAAAAATTAGAATTAAAAAAATATTTATATAACAAAAATATATATATATTTTTACACCTCTGCTGGCCATTCAGCTCTTCATCTAACTCTTGAGTAGCAGTTAGATAATAATAACAATATACTATAATATATTTCAAGCAGTCAATTTTGGTCAGTTTCTCAGGCTATTGCTGATTTATTTTTAAAAAATTCGAATGACAAAAAAAATGTTTATTCTAAAGAAAAAACTTTTTAATTATGCAATTAATTTTTTAACCCGTATGTAGAAAAGTTGAAAGGTCAAAAAACAATTACAAATTAAAAAAATAAAATAAATAAATAAATGAGCAAGCAGAAATGCGGTAAAAAAAAAAATATATAAAAATACTAACAATTAAACTCTCATTAGATAGTTCAGAGGCTGAAAAATAACATTAAATTTCACTCATCAAGAATGAAAGCTAGAATATAATAACAAATTCCAAAATAAATTATTAAAACATATATTTAGAATTCTGAAAAGTAGCTACAAAAAATGTTTACAACTAATATTAGTCAAGTAAAATAAAATAAAAATTCCTTATAGACAATTTTCACTCTACTAACGGCTAAAAAAAAAATAAATATATATATTAAAATACCCCAAACCAATAACACTCAAAGTAGAAATACTAGCCATAAAAAAGAATAGGCATTTGCCATAGGAAGCTGCCAAAGTGCTGCAAGAACAAGCTGAAAGAGAAGCTGCAAACTAATCGTTTAAGAAGGACGGCTAGATTAGTTGCATTGGGCTATCGGCACTAGGCCAGCTTCATCAGCAAATGGCCAAAATGGCCATGTGCGAGCCATCAACTGCACACTTAATCAGCTAAGAACAGCAGGCATCAATTTCGCTGACAGCCCGGGATCAGAGTCGAGCAATTAATGGCCAAGTAAAGATGCGGACGCAATTTGGCCCAGGGAGCAAATCAGCAAACCTTTTTTTTTTTCATTCTCTCTATCTTTTTTACGCTGCAAGAGACAAGTTGATGGATACACGTGGCCAGGCAGAAAAAAAAAATGAAGCAATCAAATGGTCGTAATGTCATCAACACCATCCATAAGTGGACGCCACACACACACACTCATCCTTTGGCTAAGGGTGGTGCTTGGGTGAGTGTGTCAGGAAATCGGGCCCAGGACGATGATGAGTTACTTTGGTCACGAAGCTATTTTTACGCTTGATTACGCGATAAATGAAAATCAAATGTTTGATTGCTTAATGCTTTGCCAGCGTAGGTCAGCGTGGGTCAGCAGCATGGCGCCCGAGCACCACCCAGCCAGCGCACCACTTCAAAAGTGCTGCAATTTTGCCAAAGTGCCAGCCCAGTGGGATTGGTCCGGGTGGCTTTTGCTGCGTTGGTGAACATTTCAATTATTTATATGCTTGTTTGTCTCCTCGACTCGGCTCATGTGTGCACGTGCGATACGAGCGCGTGTGTGTGGGTGGGTGGGTGGTTGGCTGGCTTGGGTTTGAGTGGTGCACACGATGCGGGGGGACGTACGATAACAGTTGACTGCACACAGTTATCATTTTTTAGCTCCCAGACACGCACTAAGCTGCAAATTGCTAAGCTGAAAGAAGCTCCGAGTTAGACCTTGACTTATTTGTTGATAGTTGAGTGCGCTTGGAACATGAGAGAATAGAGCAGAGTAAAGTAGAGCTAAGTCAAACTGGGGCTGAGCTAGGCAGGGGCTAGTCACTCTGCCAGAGGACATTGCCTACGCTCCAACACCTCGGCACTTTGCTCTGTGTATTGTTTAATTTATTAATCACCGGCAAGTACAAAGTGTCGAACCACACAAATCTTAAACAGTATTCAGCCCCACCGCATAAGCCGCTTATGTTAATTAAAATTTGGCCAAAGTTTCCACTTTTGCATAGACTCTGAGTCCGCTTGGCACAATCAATCAATTGCCTTTGTCCTTGCTTCAGTTTGTTTACGTTTTGACTGCCTCAAAAGTGTTAAGTAGAAATCCATTTACGTTTTTGTTTTTGTTCGTTTTGTGGTCATATTTTCGGGTGGGCTAAAAAGGGTTAATGCCGGGCCAGATGCGGGGGCTGCCCAGAGAGAAATGGTTTCCTGCTTATTGATGAGCCAGGTCAGCTGTCTGACAGTTCATTCTAACGAGTTGTGTAATCAGTGACAAAGAGCTGAACAAGATAAATCTGCACACAGAATGATTCAGGCGCAAGGCAAGTAGTTATGAGGGCAAATATTTAGGCATGCCTTAAAGCATGTCATAGAAAGATTATTGCTGCACTAGAAGGACTTTTTGCTGTAACGGAAGTTATTATAAGGACTAGCTTAAGAAGATACTTAATTTGGGTATAATTAAGCTAGACACAGAAGTTATATATAGACTATTCTGTTCATATTACAAATTCCTCTGTCCAAGAGCTGAATTTCAGCTGAGATAGCTTGAGAAGCCTAAGCGTTGAGTCAATATTTGCATATGTCCAAGAATATCAGCTGAATATCAACTGAGATAACTTCAGGTCATAGAGGTGAGTCTGGAAGTAGAAGTTAAAATAGATTAAATTCGTCTCAATAAAACCCCCAACTTGAGCCTCAGCTTACGACCTATTTTGAGTGCATTATTTCACTTCAAAGAGTCGCTAATCACTTCTTAGTTCTGTAAGCATATTACTCTCATGCAAACTCACCACAGCTCCATCAACATTCGCCTTTGCATTCCATCAATCAAATCACATATTCCCACAGCCATTAAATGTCTACATTTATTGCAATTTCATTCACTTCCTCAACTAATCATGATATCAAATTCAATCAAAATCTATTTTAAACAATTGCACATAGTGCAGAGTCAACTGGCTCCAGCTAGAGGCCGAACAATTGTTAAACATTTCATTAACCCACACTAGACGATACGTGCAATTGATTTGTGCCAGGACCTGCTGTGCATTGGCCATTTCCTGCTGGCCGTTGGCCGTTGGCTGCTGGTTGTTGGCTGCTTGCTTGGCCTCCATTTGGGCAGTGCTTACAAAATGTTGGCAACTGGCGACTGGCAACTGGCAACTGGTAAATGGGCGAAAATGTGAGCTCGCAGGCCGACTGGCAAAAGCCAGCAAATTGTAATTTCAATTGTCAACAGCAATGTGGGGGCCAGCAAAGAGGGCGTGGCACTGCCCTAGCAACATTCAGTATGCAGTTAATTTTGTGCTTTGGCTGCAATAAATTTTAAATGCACATTTCAAATGAAGACGCAACAACATCGACGACGAAATGAAACGAAACGGAAAACAATTTTGTGCAATTTCACTAAAAACGAGACACAGCACACACACACACACAGTGGCCCTTCCCACATTGACACACATCTGGGAAATCGGGGAGCTAAAGAGTTAAGGCAGTCCCAGCCCCAGCTCCAGTCCAGCCAGCCAACATTTGCAATCGAAGTGTCCTTGTTCCTGCAACGAGACAGCGACTACAAATGAAATTGTTGACCAAAGTGCAGCGTTTAAGAAAATCGAATATACACACACTCATACACACATACATCCACTCACACATACACCCACTCTCACATGCACACTGGAGTGCTCCGTTTGTGCGTAAGTGTATGTGTGTCTACAAGTTTTCCATATGGCCAATGCATTTTCCTTGCACTTCAATGGAACTGCTATTGTCCAGATTCCCATTATTGTTGCTTATATACCCTGTTTTTTTTAGGTGTATATGGAGTATATTAAATTAATTTTAATAATACTGAAATATATAAATATATAATTATTACTCAATATTCTATATACTCTCACAAAATATACAGAATGTAATAAATGAAACAGACATTGAGGTTTTCATAGTCGTTATCATTGCTATTATAATTATTATTATGTTAGCATTGTTCATGATTAGGATCATTATTATTTCCATTATATATATTATATATATATTATATCATTGTCATTGTCCATTTTACTGTCTCATGGTCATTGTCATTGTCATATTCAATGTCCTACTTACATTACATTACTACATTATCATTTCATTTAAATTATGTTGTCATAGTCATCATCATTATCATTATCTTGGTCATTGTCAACATTATCATTAGCGTGATCTATATCATAATACGATCATGATCTTAGTCATTGGCATTACAATTACATTATTATCATTGCCTTCTTCATATGCCAACTTTGACACGTTCTTAAATCCCTTTCAGTTTCAGCACAGGGTATATCACAGTCGTTCACCTCCGAGAAACATTCATGTTATTGCTTTTATGACAGTTTTTAAGGCATTTTTATTTGTGTAAATATGGTTTAAATTTTATTTGCTGGCTCTTAGAAGATTGCCAGCAGCTTTTGTTATGCCAACAAATGCAAATTGCAATTGTTATGCAAGTCGCATGTTGCATGTTGCATGCTGAGCTCAATGCTGGCAATATTTCAGTAGAGCCGAGTCGTCGTCGCATTGTTGGCTGCCTCGGACATGGCTGAATAGATGAATGCATATTATTCAGATGTGGCCAGCATGTAAGCATTATTATTGTTAAGCATTCCGAAAAGGTGTCGATGCACATGCCAATGCAATTTTAAGTCTCTTTTTTTTCTAACCACTAGAGAAGTGGAAATATAAACAAGCCAGGAATTGCTTTGACTTATGATATACATATCTATATATACGTTGTTTTTCTGTTTACATAAGGCTATGACATAGTAGAAGATGGCTTAAACCA